TGCAGGCATTTAGCCCCTTTCCTGCTCTTCTCCCACCTCACTCCCCCACCAGTACATCAACAGAAACTCCAGTCATCCTCAGGCCTTATCTTTGCTTAACAGAACCTTAGTTTTGTTTGGAGGACAATGGAACCATTCCCAATTGGTTGGCCCAAGTCAATCCACCCCATTTCTCATGCCAGTTACTTCCTTTCACAGACTTCCTTGCAGGTGCGGTTGGACATGTGCCCTACCTCCACTCTATCCAAGGCTGCTTGAGAAAAGGAATCCACTCTCTACTGCCACAATAATGCTGGCTATCAAATCACTACCAAACCTTCCTGGAGTTTGATGTGTTTGTTGTTCATACACCTGGAGTCAGGGATGGGTGGTTCCATGGCTCTGCTGATCTTGGTGGGGCTCACTTCCATGTCTGGTGGCCAGTGGCTGTTGAGTGATCAACATCAGTGCTCAGGTGACTAAGAACCTTGACTGTGTTCCGTGTGTCTCTACCTTATCCTCTTGGCAGGCCTGTCTGGGCATGTTCTCTTGGTGATGGAAGAGGCTCAGAAATGAGTGAGCGCAATCCCACAAACCCAAATTAAGATTTCGCTGATGTCACATCTCTTGATATCCCTGGTCAAGGCAAGCCCCATGACTAGGCCCAGAATCAGAGTGGGAGGGTACCAAAAGGTTATAAAGTCAAGGCCATGGATGAATATAGGGAGGAAAGAGAATAGGGCAGCTTTTGTGTCTTTCCACAGGAAACAATCCTCATAAAAATGCTCTTGAAAATGCTCTTGAAAAAAAGACTCTTGAAAATCTTATTATTTTCTGTCTTTCCCACTTGGGACAATGGCGTGAACATGTCATGCGAGGCATGATAGCTGCCATCTTGTGACCACAAGGAAATAGCAATGAGGCATACTGACATATTCAGTTATATACAATTCCAGTACCCAGTTTATTGGGTCCAAGCATGTCTCCCACTCTACTCTCTATTCCCCCCCCCCCTTGCTGGTGTTCCCATCTCTGTGAATAGCTCCACCATTCATTCACCCACATTCTTGACTCAAAAATTCTGGAATAGGCTTTGACTCATTTCATTCTTGAGCCCCAGCAAATCCCCTACCTTCAAAATCAGTCTTCCTCAACAAGTTAAACATAAAATTACTATGTGAGGGCTTCCCTGGTGGCGCAAGGAATGAAGCACAGCACTATGAAGCTATCTGCAGCCTCTGCAGCATAAGTTTGATCCCTGGCCTGCCAGGGAGCTACCCATAGGCTGCAGCAGACCTCTCCTGTCTCTCCCTCTGCTCCCCTCAGCAGTGCATTTCAGTTAATCTGCCTGTTCTGTTCCCCACTCTGTCTCTGGTGAATCCTCTCACCCCCCACACCTCTGGCCTATACCCCAGTTCTTGTATGCATAAATAAATAAATCTTAAAAAAAATAAAATTACTTCATGACCCAGTAATTCCAATTCTAGATAACCTAAGAATGGTTATAGGTAAGGCCTCCCCAGTGGCGCAGCGGTTGAAGCTGCGTGCAGCTTCTGCAGTGCAGGTTCGATCCCTGGCTGCTCCCCGGCCACCAGAGGAGGGTCCCACATATGGCATGCAGTCCTCTCCTGCCGCCCGCTGCTCCCCTCAGCAGTGTACTTCGGTCCTTCTGCCTGCTCTGTTCCCCGCTCTGGCTCTGGTGAATTCTCTCACCCTCCCGCGCTTCTGACTGTACCCAGTGCTTGTATAAATAAATAAATAAATAAATAAATAAATAAATAAATAAATAAATAAATAAATAAATCTATCTTTAAAAAAAAAAAGAATGCTTATAGGTATTCAAGCTGAATGTTTGCACATGAATGTTCACAGCAGCATTATCGTCATAGTCAAAAGGTAGTAGCAACACTTGGTTTTCAAGAGTCACCCATATTGTTGCATGCATGAGAAGCGCCATACAGCTTCGGTGTGTAGAAGGCTATGTAACAGAGGCAGCTCCACGTTCCTGCCCCCGTTGACTTGCAGCCACCTTAGACTAGCCACTGGGAACTAGGGAAGGGAGCTAAGCAGCCCAGTGAAACCATATAACAAGTGGGCTCAGAGTGAGAGACTAGAAGAGAAGGGTGCTTGTTTCTTGGCTTTGGACTTGGGGAACTTGGAGGAGTCAGTGGAGGAGAGACATGTAGAGACACTTGAAAGAGACATGTGGGGAGGCTGACAATGGCAGCCATTGTCTTGATTTGTAGTTTGAGTTTTCTCTTTGGTTCCAGCGTTCTGGGACCAGCTTCAGAAGCCCTTTCATATGGTTTTCTGCCAGAAGGTGGCTTATACTCGAGACAAGTTTTCAGGCCTCCGCAGCCCCACTTTGAGCCAACCCTATCTGGCTGGACATTTGCCCAGGAGGGGATGGATAATTTGGGATGTTTTATTTAGAATACCCTTTCTTCTTCTCATCTTTCTCCATGAACACTAATTCTACTAAAATTCTTTCACATTAAGCGTCTCCTTTGTCTTTATGTACAAGGATGGCTGGACCCCTTTAGAGTGTGCAAGTTAGGGGCTCCCGGGGTACCCCTCATTTGTGCATTAACAGCTATACCATCTAGGTTTGTGTAATTACATATACTCTGCGATGTTTGCACAGTGACTAAATAACCTAATGATACATTTCTCAGAATGTAGCCCCATTAGGGAACTCATGATGTTTCTCCAGAAACTGTATTTCAGCGTTAAGTCCTACTGCCCCTAAGAAGAATTTCACTGTTCAAGGTTCTGTCCCCTTAGCTACTTGTCTGCCCAGTTCAGGTGTGGCAGATGGGGAAAAGCTCAGTATTTAATATTTGCTAAATGATAGAAGGAATGAAATCTTTTAAAACTGTTCCTGGGATTTAAATCCTGCCTAAGGAGCACAGGGCTATATTTACCTTTTTGAATTAGTGTTTGCATATTCGATAGAATCCTTGAAGTGGAATTGCTGGATGATAAGGTAATTGTATTTTCATTTCCTTGAGGACCCTCCAGGCTGTTTTTCATAGTGAGTGCACCATTTCCATCCCCACCAACAGTGGATGAGGGTTCCTTTTTCACCACCCTTGCCAACATTTGCCTTTGTTACAGGACATTCTCACAGGTGAGAGATGCTATCTTACGCTCCTGATTTGCATTTCCCCACATCAAACTTCATAACTTCTGCACAGTGAAAGAGTGGGGAGCAGAACAGGTTGACCTACTAAAATATACTGCTAATGGGAGCAGCGGATGAGACAGGTGAGATCTGCTGCCCCAAGTGGGTCAGCTCCCTGGCTGGGGATGGAACTCAGGCCATAGTGGCTGGCAATAGCTTGAAAGCACTGAGACTCTAACCCCTGTGCCACCAGGGAGGACTCCCCCCAAAAAAACCCCACCCAGATTTTAAAGCTCCCCCACAGGGTAAATTATCTCATTAAAAAGGTTGTATTGGTTGTATGTTGAAATAACATAACACAATCAGGCACCTTATCCAGTTAATTTCACGTGTTTAAAAAAAGTCATTTTGGGCCTCCCCTGGTGGCGCAGCGGTTGAGTGCTGGGTTGCGAGGCTGCCCGCAGCTTCTGCAGCGCAGGTTCGTTCCCCGGCCGCTGGCAAGGGGCCCACACACACAATAAAAAAGTCCTTTTTTTTCACTTAAACACACACACAAAATGATATAGCTACTGGGAAATGTAAAATTCGATAGCATAGCTGGCATATTTTTATTTGACAGTGCTGCCCTAGATCGTAAGCTGCGGCAAGGATGTTTGCCGTGGGCTCTGCTCCATCTCAGAACAGACAATAAATAATATTTACCGAACAAAGGAATCTAAATGGACAATGCCTTCTCTCCCCTCCTGTCTGTGTCTCCCAGGGATGCATTAAAAAAAAAAAAAAAGTAAAATACACATCAAAGTCACCCCCATTTTTAGCACTTGCGCTGTGCCATCGCCACAGCAACCCAGTTTTGCCATCTGTTTCCGTCAGCCCAAGCCCCGGCGCGGGGGTCAGCGATGCCCCTTCCCGCCCCCCAAACCACCGCTCCCGACTATCTCCACAGGTTGTACGGGGTCAAGGGCCAAGGGCCAAGGAGGGGAATCCCCGTCGACTGGACCCGGGGTCAGTGCCCCGGAGGCTCAGTGCTCGCCGAGCAAGGGCAGCACTGTCCCCATCCCAGCACCTGCCCCACGCGCCGCCGCCGCCCCTCGGCACCCCAGACCCGAGACGGCGGCCCCGCTGCGTTCCGACGCAGCCCGGCTGAAACAATGACCCCAGGGCCTCCCGGCGGGTCGTGGGCGCCCCTCCCCACCGCGCCCGCCCCTTCTGGGCTCCGCCTTCACGCCGTCCCGCCCCCAACCGCCCTCTTCCCAAAATGGCGACCAACCGCCTCCCTTCCCGCCGGCCGCCGGTCACCTGACTGCGTCAAGCCCCGCCCCCTAGCGGCTCCGCCCCGCCGCGCTCGTCTGATTGCTGCCGAGCCTGCGCGGCCGGGAGGCACGCGCTGAGAGCCCGGGCGGCTCGAGGAGCGCTCGAGGCCTCTCTGGGCCGCCCGCGGCCACGCCCGCGCGCCCGCGCCGCGGGTGAGCCGGGCGCTCCGGGAGCAGAAGGGGCTGCTCGTGCGCGTGCGCGCCGGGCCGGCAAGCGGTGCGGGCCGGCAGAGGACCGCTGGGAGGCCCGCGAGGCGCGAGGCTCGAGGCCCGGCGCGCGAGCCCCCGGGGCGGGTAAAACCCGGTTGCTGCTGCCCCTGCCCCCTCCCCTTCCTCCCTACCCCCCCTTTCCTGCCCCTTCCTCATTTTCAACCCCTCCCCCCTTAAAAAAATCTAATTCGTTTATATATTTGCCTTTTAGGGTGCCCATCTCCCTTTCCGAGGGGCGCAGCAGGCGCGGCGGGCGCCCCTCACCCTGCGTCACGCACGCACCTTCTGCACCCCAACAGTTCCGGGCCCCACTGCACCCCCGCAACCCCTTCCCCCTTGGAGAAGACGCTCCCTGGGGTTCGCTGCACCCCTTTTTCTTTCCTACCCCCCCCCCAGGCCCCAACTGCCCCCTCGCAGCTCCCCAGCTCGCGCGCCGTGGGCCCTACCCGACCTCCGCACTTTCTGCATCTCGGCCTTGCATTCCCCTTCCAGGCTCCTTCTGCTAAAAATCCTCTTTCCTCCTGAATTGTTGTATTTTAGGGGACCCAGTTTTGTCTCTTTTTCGGATATTCGAGCAAAACCAACGTCTCTCCTATTTTCCTTGATTACCCCCTCGCCCCCTCCTTTTAGGTACTTCCTCTAGCAAGAAACTTTTTTCTTTCCCCGATTTTTTTTTTCTCTGTTCTCGATCACATTCCAGCAAAAATCCTTTCTTCTCACCTCGAAGTCCCCCTTTTTGGAAAATCTTTCCACTCAGGACAAACCAACTTAGTCCTTCCAGTTTCTCTCTGGTCTAATACTTAATGTTCCAACCCTAACCCCTTACTCGCCAACAAAAATCCCATTTCATCACCAGTTCCACCCCAACGAGGCTTCTCCCAGCAAAACCCTCCTCCAGATCCCTTAGGGAGGGGTGGTCGAAAATAAGGCAAGAAAAATAGTAACTTTCCCCTAACAACAAAACCCTTTGCTCCACCTTGATTCCTCCAGTTTAGGATTGCTTTTTTCCTTCTTCCAGAAATTGCCCATCTCCCCCAATTTCACACCCGTGTCCTTCCTTTTGGGGGGACCCAAGTTCTGACTGCCCCTTCCTTTCCACCACCTGCTTTCAGGGCAGAAGAAGTTGGATGAGTGTCTTGAATTTACCATCACGTCTTCCAAGAGGAAATACCCAATGATCTGTCACCTGAACCCCCCTCTTTGTGGGGCCTAAATTGAACCCTCTTCTTCCCGGGAGATTTATTCACTTGCTTTTCTGGTGAGTTTTGCCCCTTTGCACTGTCCCAAGACATCTCCTTTGTCAGAGGGTTTCTAATCTATCTAAGAATATCTGTCCCAATAGTGAGACTATACCTGTAGCTGCTTTGGGAAGTAAAGGCAAGAAGAGCATTATTTATGGTCTCTGTTGACCTCTCTGGAGGAATGTGGACATTTACTAGGTTGGTGTATATTTTATCGTTTATTGCAAAGACTTTTTCATTCTTTGGTTCAGGGTAGCAACTTAGATACCCACGGGAGATGGGCAGGAAAAGGAGGAGAGTATGATCAAAGATCGTGTGCCCCAGCTAGGTGAAGCCAACAATTGCAAGCATCTACAGGGAAATGCAAAACTAGTCTTGCCAGAACTGAAGTTATTTTTGAAAAGACACCAGAACACTGTTTCATGTAAACCTTTTCAAATGCTGACAAGGAATTTAATTTTTAAAGGCAATGTATAAAGTAATCATTATGTCTGCTGGTCCCCAGCTTGGAATTTTTGATTGAGGCTTAGTTCTGTGTTAGACACACACACACACTTGGGCATGTGGGACTATTTCCTTTTAGAGCAGCAGTTCTTAAACTTTGATCTTGGGAAACGCTTTACACTTAAGCATGCTTGAAGATCACAGAGTTTGTGTATGTAAACTCTACCGAGATATTTGCTGTGTTACAAGTTTAATATACTTTAAATATATTTATTAGTTCATTTAAAAAGAGCAATCATTGATTTGTTCTATATTAATAGCATTGATACTGTTATTAAAAAACTGTATTTCAGAAAACAAAAGTTTCAGTGAGAATAGTGGCATTGTTTTATGTTCTCAACATTAACCTGGATTCTCATACCTGCAAGCCTCTTGAGATATACCCTGTAACCTCTCGAAAGTTTTGCTGAGAATGAAAAAGGCAGATAAGATCTGAGTAGTAGCATGAAAATAACTTTGACCTTGAAGGATCCCTGAATGACTCTTGAGTACCCCAGGGTTTTCCTCCCTCCCCGTCCACTTCATTGTGAAAACTGCTTTTCTAGATTTTAATGCTTTTTTTTTTTTTTTTTGCATTTTCTGCCAGGATCACCTTTTAGAGTGAGAAACTTGGTGTCTCTTTTTCCTTCTTTAGATAATTCCATGTAAGAATTTTCTCTGGAAATTGCAATCCCAGCCTTCTCATTCCTCTATGTCTTTCTTTTTACCAATGTAAGCTTTAAATCTGTTTTGATGTATGATTAGAAATGAGTTAATTTTCTGGCTAAAATTATATCTTGGTTATATGGCTAGAGAAGGGTGTCTTCCTTCATTGTTCTACTTAAGAATGTAGGTGCAGAGTGGTGGCAGGAGTCTCTATCAGAAAGGTAGAATCATGGCAGGTGGAGTGCTTAAATGTGAGTCTCTGACATTAGTCTCATTGGGGCTTGGGCAAGTAATTTAACTTTTCTGGACTGTCTTTACCTCTTAGCAAAATAAGCTTGATCATATAATTTGGGAATTAAATGAGATCATTTCTAAGTGACTATGGTGGTGACTGGCATAGAATAAAGCCTCCATAAATGTTGGCTGCTATTGTTATTTTTATAATGATAATTAGAGGAGTCAGGCAGGAAGATAAGTGAGGTCTTTGAGAACTGGAGGCCATGGCCCTATCTAGACATGGCAGGAGTGTCTGTAGTTTCCAATACCATTTGGAGTGGGAAAATAAGGAAAGAATTTGCCTGGCTAGGGTAGCAGCTATAAGTCTCTCTTAGCTCCCAGCACCCAACAACCTGATACTAGTGAGAAGTGATCACACTCTCTCCCCAGCAACACGGGTGCTAAAAGGGAAAGTTTGAGCATGTGGTACTTATAGTTAAAAAAAAAAAAAAGCTGGCAGGACAGGACAACAGGTTGGGGACTTTTCAAAGAGAAAAAAGGTGGCACAATGGAATCCTGTCACTCATGGATGACAGGGAAGCTGAGAGCTTTCTTTGATCAAAGTCTGTGCCAGGAAAGATGCTGTGTGGAGCACTGACACAAAAGGCAGAGTTGCAGCCACTCTACAGCTTGTAGACTGGGAGAAATACAAGAACCTGAAAGACAGTTAAATCGTGAAGACAGTTGAAACAGGTGTCAAGTGCTTTGTCAGACAAGTGCTGATCTGAGTTCAGAGGTAATATCAAACTTTGTTGTGTTGAGAATATTCTCCATAGGGTAGGGGTATTCAGGCTCCATTTTATTTTTATTTATTTATTTATTTATTTTTTAAATTTTATTTATGCATACAAGAGCTGGGGTACAGGCCAGAGATGCGGGGGGTGGGGGTGAGAGGATTCACCAGAGACAGAGTGGGGAACAGAACAGGCAGACTGACTGAAGTAAGTATACACTGCTGAGGGGAGCAGCGGGCGAGACAGGAGAGGTCTGCCACGCCATGTGGGTTGCTCCCTGGCTGGCCGGGGATCGAACTCGTGCTGTAGAGGCTGTGGTTTGCTTCATAGTGTGGTGCTTAGCCCCTTGCACCACCAAGGAGGCCCTCAGGCTCCATTTTAAAGGGTTTCATTTGGTGAAACTGAGTGAAGACGTGAAGACAGGTCAACCAAGGGGAACAGTACAAATCACCATTATAAACTCAAATGTGTCCAGGATGGGCGGGGGGTGGGGGGGCGAAGCGGGGAGATTAGGGAGTAGTGGGGACTGTGACAAACTGGAGAATATAAACTCTGTCTAAAGGCAGCTTCAGCTGCTCAGCTCCAGCCAGTTGTTGCTTTGCAAGAATGTGAACTAGATGTTGACAGATTTCAAGGTTTTATTTTTCTCCCTGATTTTAAAATAGAGGTTGGAAAGCCTTAAGTTAGTGAGAAATTGGTATATCTGTGGTGTCCTGTGTGGCAGCCATGGGCTACTTGCAGTTGTGTGAATTTGAATTGAATTAAAATTTTAAAAAATGAAGAGTTTAGTTTTTCATATGTGTCCATTGCATTGTTAGGTACTCCTTAGCACTTGTAGTTAGAAGTTTGTACTGATCTAGACCATTTCCATTAGTACAGAAAGTTCTTTTGGACACGGATGCTCTGTCAAAATGCGCTCTGACAGATTTTTCAACTTGATAAAAAAGGAATTGAAAAATATTTACAAATGCCACTGTCTGAAAACACCACCTTTGTAGACCAGGTAGACTTTGAGATTGTTCTGGGCCTTTCCTCCAAACAGTGGCACAGTTGACAGTTTATCTCATTGTAGACTCACTGCTGTGGTCTAGAACTACATGGCAGGTGACTTTCTGAACAGGTTGTAGCATTTCAAAGGAGAATGCCTTTTTCCTCATACCTCCATAGAACGATGGGTCTTTTTGAAAAGAAAAAATTAAAATTGCTTTGGATCCCCCAGCACTGACAAATCATTCTTTATTAAACCAGGCATAAATGATGGTAAAATAAGGCATCCTTTCCTAAAATTTACAGCTTTTGTGCCACTGAAGAGACAGAATCTATTTGCAAATTAAATACACACAAAGCAACAAAGCCCATGAAATTCAAATTACAAACATTAATTTAATGAGAGGGATGCTATTTTGCTGAAACTTAACTGTTCCTTGGAACTCTTCGCCCACTGTACCACACTGTACCATTTTAGGGCTGGCAGGCCCGGTGATGTTTCCATTCTCTCATCCATTCTCTCAGTGGTGAACTACAGCAAAATCACTTGTGTGTTGGCTTTTTTTTTTTTCCTTAAGATTTATTTATTTATGCAAGAACTGGGGTACAGGTCAGAGGTGCGGGAAGGTGAGAGAATCCACCAGAGAGAGCAGGGAGCAGAACAGGCAGACAGACGGAAGACACTGCTGAGGGGACCAGCGGGCGAGGCAGGAGAGGTCTGCCACGCTCTGTGGGTTTCTCCCTGGCCGGCCTGGAATTGAACCCACTCTACAGAGGCTTTGCACAGCTTCACAGCGCAGCGCTCAACCCGCTGTGCCGCCGCTGGTGGCGGAGGTCAGCTTTTTTTAAAAAAAAAAAGATTTATTTATTTATTTATTTATGCATACAAGAACTGGTATGCATGCCAGATATGTGTTGGGGGGGGGGTGAGAGGATTTACCAGACTGACAGATTGACAACATTCAGATTGACTGAAATACACTGCTGAGGGGAGCAGCGGGCAAGTCAGGAGAGGTCTGCTGTGCCATGTGGGTCAGCTCCCTGGCCGGGGACTGAACTCGTGCTGTAGCGGCTGCAGATAGCTTCATAGATTGCATCTTAACCCCTTGTGCTGCCAGGGAGGCCCAGTATTGGCTTTTATTTGAGCCCATAGATTTTATCATGAGCTAAATCTGCCTCTGTTCTCTTCTCATTATCCTATGGCAGAAAGTGGTGTTCTCTGACAACCATGCATTTATGAACTTACCCTTGGCTTTGGAACCAAACAGTAATGGTAGGTTATAGGGTGGTGATCTAGTAATCCAGATAGTCTGCTTTTCTTCTTCCAGGCTATTTTTACAGTAAAAACACAAACTTGGAAAGAGTATTTTGGATCCTTGGGAATGTCCCCAAGGTCCTAGGGGACCACAAACTCCGACCTACAGGGAGCTCTGTACATAGAGGGTGCTAAATTTTGTTGAATTAAATTTATTTGTTGACACAAGACCAAGTTCAATATTGGTTAAGGGGGTTGCTTGCTTATCTGGGAAAAGATGTGAACATCAAAGCATGGCCTTTGGACTTTTTGGCTGGTCTGCCTGAGGTGGTAACAGGAGCAGTTTGTTCCCTGGGCTATGGGAGTACATCGGAAAGCAGGTGATTGGCATTTTGGGACTCTGGAGACATTCTGTGTCCCTCCTGGACCCCACTGAGCTCCTTCTGTGTTTTCTGTTTTAATTGGTGCAGTTCAACCTGCAATTTAATTCCTAGGGAACCAGTTCTGTGTGGTGGGTAAGAGTGCCAGCTCTGAAGTCAAGGTATCTGGGTTTAAGATCAGGCTCAGCTATTTGTTAGGCAGGCAGCGCTGTGAACCACTATACCACCAACGCAAA